AGGAGGAAGAATTTTGGGTCCAGAGGAGACCACATGGCACACAGAGTTCTCATCCCTGGAGCTACAGAAGCAGAAATCTTCAGGGTTCTGTCCTGGGGGCTGCGAGGGGGCGGTAGGGGGAGATAGGAGTCCAGGGGGACAGCTTTGAGCAGGATTTTGTACCAAGACCAGGGAGAGGCCTCTGGCTCAGGTGCTTTCCCCAGGCAGAGTTCAAGCTCCAGGCTCTGTTTGGACCCCAGAGGAGAGGCTGTGAACCCATAAGGGGAGTAGTCTGTGAGCACCCTGGCTTGGGTCTGTCTTCAGGTCTGGCACAGGCCTGGATGCAAACAGCAGAGGCAGGCGGCACCTGCACTTCCTGTGCAGAGCTGGGAATTGTGCCCAGCCTGCACTCTGCAACTGTCAGCCCCAGCAGCTAATGAGCTCTTGCCCTGATCTTCCCTGAATGCAGACGGCTCCGGGTGGGCGAGACAGAGATGAAGGGGGGCTGGTAAAGAGAAGATGTGGCAATCAACAGTAGACAGTGGGTAGGAGAAGTAGGCACGGGAAGCTGGGGAATCTCGTCTGCCTGGAAGGCGGGGAAGAGAGTGGGAGGAGGATGCAGGGGTGTGGGGCCTGCGGGGCTGGGGTCTTGGATTTGCCATCACCGTGGCCACGTCGGATTAGGAAGGGAATGACTTCCCCGCCACAGCCAGCGCCACCCCCGCCCCCTGTGCTCTTCCCATGGTTCATTGCGTCCTGGGGGATGCAACCTCTCAGCACCTGTGCCCGATGCCCAGGTCAGTTCAGGAACTGCTGGCCTTTGTCCTGCATCCAGGTGGCTGCAAGGCTCCGAACAGAAGACTGGGGTTCACCAGGCGGCCTTCCCTTAGTAAGGGCTAAGGATAAGCCTGAGGATAAGTCTGGGGCTGCCCTAGCACCTCCCAGTGTCACATCATGCTCACCCCCTCTTCTTGCACCCCCATGTGCCTGTTGTGTGTGGCCCCGGGCACAAAGAGATGGCATGACCATCCCTGTCCTGAAGGGGTCCTCGGGCCAGAAAGTCCCCACGTTGTGCCTCTTTACCTGTATCTCCCCATTTAGCATCAACCTTCCATGGTTGAGGTCCCTCTTTGCACCTGACAAATGGAATCTGAAACCCAGAGGATTTGTAACTGATCCAAGTTCTGTCTACTCTGAGCCCCGTCTCTTTCCATCTCCACAATCAGAATGTGAGTGAGGGTCAGATGGGTGAGGCCAAGAGCCTGTGCAGTATTCAGGGAAGGGAGTCTTGGGGCCTGGAGGGGTGCAGACATTCCTGAAAGAGAAAGAGGTTTGGCCTAGGAGCGGGCCTCAGAAAGATGGGGAGGGGAGCCCCAGGGTTCCGGAGGGCGAGTAGAGCAGCCCACCCCCAGGGGCTGCAAGACACCTGGGTTCAGTCCCGCCTCCCTCTGCTCCCACGGGGACCTTGAGTTGCTTCTCATCTCCCACCTCACTCGCCACACTGAGCCTTTGCGTAAATGAGCAAAAGGCAGGACCCTCCACCAGGATCTGCTACGAAACTGTCACAACACACTGACGGCAACCACAGTGTAGTGGCTCTGACTTGGGGTCCAGAAGTCATTCGCTGCGTGCAGTGGCCCTGCTCTGAGGCTCGCGACCTCAGAAGGGGTAAATACCCATAATCAGTCACCCCAGGCATTGAGCAGACAGTAAGCCCTGTCGAGGGCCAATGCGCGCACCCCCTCCCTGCACGGCTGCTTCCCTGCCCGCCTGCCTCAGAGCAGGGCCAGGCGGGCTCCTTAACAGGCTGAGCAGACTCAGCCTCCCTTCTGCTAGGACCACGAGAGCCACTGGCAGCCTCTTTGTCAGGGGAGCCGACCGCCAGTTCCTGGCTTTCCCTTCCCCTTTCTCTGAGCCCGTCATTCAGTTTCTTCCTCTGATTGTTCTTAGAATTACCAGCTGCCTCCTCCCCACAGGCTGGTCTATGGTTGGGGCCTCTTCACCCCCATGTACAGGCCCCCTGTAGCCAAGGGGAGGGCGCCTAGGACTTTGACTCTGGTCTTGCCTCCAACCCGAGCTCATGCCAGGATGGAGGTGCTGACTCTGCAGTGCAGACCAGCCTCTGGGGCTGGGGGCCGCCCCTCCGCCTTCAGCCCAGGGCCCTGCCGCAGAAGCAGGCCTGAATCCTGACTCTTCTCTGCCCCCACAGTCCCAGCCATCCTCAGGACGGGGCTCCAGGAGGACGTGTGGCTTGCTCTGCCCCACCAGGGTCTCTCCATCCAAGCAAGACTCGCCCCGCACCTTTCCATGGGTGGCAGGCTCAGCAGTGTGTTCGCTGAGAGCGGTCCCCAGCACGTGCCCAGAGGATGGATTCCAGGCATCGTCGCTTTCATTTCTGTTTTTGCACAAAGCAGGGCTAAGCAAGCAGCCTGGCTCTGCAGGTGGTGGCCGTTTTGTCTCCCAGGCTGGAGCCTCTTGCACAAAGTGGGGTGTTGAGGGCACCTAGCCGCTCGTCAAGGCTGTGACCTTTGCTGCTGGGAGAGGCCTCCGTGGCCTGCTGGGCCACCTGCCTGCTGGGCCGGGCTCTGGGCACCTGACTTGTGTCAGCTCCTGGAATTCTCCGGTCAGCCCTGTGGGGCGAATACAGCCGGTCATTGAATAACATTGTTTCCCTCAGTGTTGTTTAGCTCTGACTCTGATGAGAAAAAAATGCCAATGTCGAACAGAACAACCTTATCGGCAGACCTGGTTTTGTTGTCTGGGTTTTGGCTTCCGTCACCGGGTTCAGGATCCTACGAGGGTGTTCAGTGAGGACTCGCTCCACCGCATTGTCCTCCCGACAGAGGAGGAAACGAGGGCTGAGCGATGTTATGTGCGCTGGGACACCAGGGCTGTGGAGGTTGTACGGGGAAGACAGGGTCAGTTCAGACACAATGGCGGCACCTACAGAGTGGGATAGAGGCAGAGGCACTGAGCAAACTTTCCTTCCTCGTCTTCAGTGGTCGTAAGTGCTAAGGCAGTGGACGCTCAGTCATTTGGGAAACACAGTCACGGGAGCGGGTCACAGAGCACAGCGCATGAGTGTATTTTTAATTTATTTTTTTAAGATGTATTTATTTGTGCATACAGAGCTTGGGTACAGGCCAGAGGTGCAGGGGCAGTGAGAGCCTTCACCAAAGACAGAGTGGGGAGCAGAACAGGCAGATCGACGAAGTACACTGCTGAGGGGAGCAGCGGGTGGGTCAGGAGAGGTCTGCTGCGCCATGTGGTCACCTCCGGGGCCGGAGATGGAACTGTAGCTGTCTTGCAGTTCTGAGACCTAACGCATTGAGCCACCAGGGAGGGCCACAGTATGAATTTAAAGAGGGGAACACTGATGCTAGTGTTACAGGGTAGCCCAGAGTGGACCGGGCCGCCTGTCTGTGGGGCCTCACCCGCGTGTTCACAACTCGGTTACACTGCAGGGACACACAAAAGGGTCAATAATGGGTTTATTTACAAAAGGAGAAAGGAATAGGAAACATCCCAGGGAAAGAGAGAGGAATACAAGGTAACTGGAATACCTTACAGCTAGGCTGACTGAACACACCACGTCACGAGGTCAGGAGAGCCGCTTCCCAAGCGAGAGAGCCAGCCAGAGAGCACGAGATGCAATCGCGCCCTATTTATCCCCCAAATGTCCCAGAATTCCTGCTAGCTCTTCCCTTGGGTCCTTGCAGTTCTCTCCCTGGTACTGCTGGGAGTTGTAGTTTCCAATCTCTGGAGTAGGGTGTAGGGTCCAGAAAGCTGGAGTAGGGGGTGGAGTCCATAAGACTGCAGAGTTCCTTTAGGACATCCTTCCCCTTAACACTAGAAGACCACTGAGGAAGGAGTGGGGGTAGCAGAAGTGAAGTCCAGGAAGGCTTCACAGAGGAAGCAACATCTGCAATGGCTTGATAAGTGGGTAGGGAGGTCAGGGGAACAAGTCCAGAGGCAGTCGCCCTTCCAGGTGACAGAGATGGCTGTGGGGAGAGGATGAAGCTGCACTTGAGGTGGGGAGGGGACCCTGATTGGCTAAGCAGAGAGGAGCCATCAAGAGGGTAAACTGAGGTTAGAGCCATAGCTCTGGGCTGGCTGTCCTGTGAGGCCCAGGGGCCTGGCTGTGCCTGGGTGAGCAGTACTGGGCTGCCCCCACCACCACCACCCCCCCCATCCCCTCCAGGGGAGGGCAGTCTTGCTTCCCTCCAGGGCCGATTTCCCCTCAAGGACTGTTGGTTCATTCTGATGTTCTCAGCAATTTCCCAGAGGGCAGGATGTTCCCAGCTTGTGCTTCTGAGATAAGGGGTTGGATGAAAGCAGGTAAACCCGAAGTCCGAGCAGGAAGCTCTTGTGGAGCTCTGAGGCCCCTCAGGAAGCAGCAGTGCTGGGTCAGCGCCCCGCCCCCCTCCTCCTCAGCTGGGGACAGAGGTGACCTGGCACAGCTGGAGTGGCCCTGCGCCTGGTGGGGCCCAGAACACTGTATCTCCTCGGGTCTTTAAGTTGAAGGTTAAAGGTGCTAGTCTTCAATCCTCCACTAACTTGCTGTGTGACTTGGGCAAGTTGCTTTACCTCTCTGGGCCTCACTGTTTTGATAACATGGGCTGAGTGAGGAAAGAATAACACCTGTTTTGTTCTGTATGTGTGAGGAGGGAGGAAGCGGGGGGATGTCACCTCCCGGACTGCACAGCACCTCGGTGCAAAGGCTAAGGGCAGACATGGGCTTTGCTCCTGGGGCCATCACCAGAATGGGGGTACTCAGTCCCACTGGAAAGACCTCAGGCTACAGTAAGGACTCAGGTGGACCCCTGATCCTGCTCCCAGTTCCCCACCACTCTGCTGTTGGATGGGGCCCTTCCCCTCCTTGCACCCCAGGCCCCCACATTATAAAGAGGCAGTACCCCTGCCCAGGAGGTTTGTCTACGGAGGAGGCGGGGGCATGGGAAGCAGCCAGAGAGGCCAGACCCTGGCTCCACGTGACCCCCTTCCTCACTCTGCTTTTGCAGTGGGAGCGCCTCTGGTTCCTGCTCCTCACCTTCACCTTTGGCCTCATACTCACCTGGCTCTACTTCTGGTGGGAAGTCCACAATGACTACGATGAGTTCAACTGGTGAGTGGGGCAGGGTGGGCCGGGGGACAGGGGCCTGGTGGGCCCATTGATTAGGATAAGGGGGTGGCGGGCGGCCTTGGGTTTCAGCCTCTCCCAGGCAGGCTCTCAGAGTTCTGCTACCAGTTCGCTGTGTGACCTTTGGGACAGGGTCTCCATAAAGAACAAGAGCTTGGCGGGAGCTAAGACCAGCCAGGGAGAACAGGTAGTTCCTTCCTGCTGACCTGCCATCACTGAAAATCGAGACATAAGATGAACAGGGCTCATCTTGGGTCCCCCTTTGTAAACAAGAACTCCAAGGCCCAGGGAGACCAAGGCTTCAGAGGAGGGGCCCCGAGATGCTGCTCCTCCTTCCTCTTTTCACAGGGCCTGGGGCTGGGCTGACAGATGTGATGGTGCTGGGCAGCGCTGGTTCTTTGTGGACACCAGCGTCTCGTCCGGTGGCAGGGCTGTCTGAGTCTGTTACCTAGGTGGGTGTAGGAAGACCCTGTTTTTTCCTTACCTGCACCTGCCTTTGTCAAACAGTGAGTGGCCATGGAAGGAGGGTGGGGTCCTGGTTCTAGGGGGTGCTCCTCCATCGACAGGTGCAGAAGCAGACCCCAGGTCATAGTCTGGCAGAGTCGGGGCTTGCTTGGGGGCCAGGGCCTCCTCGCTACCCAACCAGTGCTGTTTTCTTTGTGGTCAGAATTTAGCTCATGGTGACTGGGAACAGGTCCATGATCCTCTCTGAGCCTCAGATTGCTCTTCGTTAAATGGATAACTCCAACCTCACCAGGTTGTGGATGCAGTGAGGTGACAGCAGAAAGAGGGTTCAGCGTTCTACAGAATCTTGAGGGCTGCTTCCTAGGAGGGCAGGTTTCCAGTCCTCAGGCTGCCAGGATGTTAGAATCTGGGCTGCGCTCGTGTGAGCCGTTGCCCTCGGAGTCTGTGATGATCCTGAGGTCCATCCTGCAGGCCTGGCACCCGCTCCCTGTGTCTGTTATTAATGAGCACAATAAAGGAAGTATTGTCCCCCGCCAGCAGCCTGGCAAGATGAGCCGAAGCCCCAGCTCAGTCCCAGAAGGGGCCCCTGGCCTTTATTAAATATCATAAATCAATTATTCATCCTCGCAGATGTCCAAAGACAGGCACTATGATGGGTAAATGGAATGGTCCCTGCTGGCCCTCCACTGCAGACCTTGGACAGTTCTGCAGGACTGGAGGTCTGCTACTGGAAGATCATCGAGTCCACCCCTTCAGGCACAGGTGGTGAAACTGAGGCCCAGAGAGCGGCGGGACTCACTACAGCCACTCCACCTGTTAGTGCCAAGGACACATTCTAAAGGCAACCCGAGGAGAGTGAGACTCACTAGCCTCTCCACAGTCACGCAGCAAGATGCAGGCAGATCTGGGCCAGGGCTTGAGCCTGCCTGCCATGCTGTTCCCAGAGCTACCTCCCCCCCAACCCCCCGTCCAGAGTGAGCTCCCTGCCACTGGGTGACTCAGAAGACAGCTGCCTGCCCTTTCGGGGACGCTGCAGCTTTTGGGATTTAGGGATAACCCAAAGAGCTGCAGCTCCATCAGCCTGCCACCTCAGGTTTTTGGAGTAGGTGCCCTGGCCCAGCCCTCACGGTCCCAAGAGGCTCTGGGGATAGTTCATGGAGTAAGCGGGTGTTAGCAAGACTGCACTGTTCATGTTGAGCGAGGAGAGTCAGGCAGGGCTGTCTGTCTGCTGCTGCCCAGGAGGGCTCTCTGCCTAAAGTGAGAGATGAGAGCTGGCCAGAACCAGTTCTAGGACAGGTCTCCCACCTCTTTGGGCCTCAGTTTCCCCAGTTAGTAAGATGTTAGCCAGACTTGGTGGCAGTAGATCATCCTCTGGAATCTGAGTGAAGGCCAGCGGAGGATGCAGGGGAAGGCAGGGGTGTCCTCCGTGTCACTTCCTAGTCCCCATGCCAAGGTGGCAGCAGGCCCAAAACCAGCTTAACTGCTCAGATGACCTTGAGAAAGTTGTTCCCTTCTCCAACCCTCAGTTTCCCCAGTTGTACATGGAGGATGTGGGTGATTCCGTAAAGCTTCTAAGGAGTACCTATCAGGAGTTCTAAGAAATGCATCCCCCGGATGGTTTCCCTGATATGTGGAATATAGAGAAGCCAAGCAAAGATCAGGAAAAAGAAACTTGCGAGCTGATCATAGAGCTGAGTCATACAGCAGGGTGGAGGAGAGAGGGCCAGACAGGGAGGCAGGGAGGGGAGAGCATGGGCGACGGTGGTGATGGGTCACGGGTGCTGTGGCGGTGGGAGAACAATAGGGACTAGATCTGAGGGGAGAAATCAAATACTGTCCAAAAGTTAACAACAACGTAGGAAAAAAGAGAGAGAAATACATTCCCTTTGGCCTTATAGTTCTACTTGCAGGAGTCTATTCTAAGGAAATAATTAGTAATCCAGAAAGATATGTACAACATTCTTTTTGTGTGTAAATTTACAATAGTGAATAACTGGAAACTATTCGTTGCCAGTAGTAGGAACTTGGCTACATGTGGTACATTACTTCCATAGAAGATGTTGTGGTTCTTAGAAGAAGATCACACTTCTCAGGATTTTCAGACATCAGGACAATAATGTTAATAAGAGGTGGCTGAGCACCTGCTGGCTTGCCTCCTTCCATCCTCAGGAAACCCCATGAGGGCGTTTTGTTATCCCCATTCTGTGGATGAGAAAACTAAGGCTTCAAGTTGTCGGGTACTACCGTTTATCAAGCGTAAGACCCCACAATTTCACCCAGAAATTGCAGTGAGTGACACAGATGATGGCATCTTGCAATCAAGGAAACCTGGGGGCTCTCTGGGGCCCACAGGCCACTGAGGGGCAGAGTGAGGATTTGAACCCGCATGCACCCCCCTCCGCAGCCTGTGCTCTGACCGCTGTGCTCTACAAAGTGGGGTCCCAACTTGGCTGCTGATACAGATAGACAAGGGTGGGGTGGTCCCCACAGGAAGAAAGTTCAGCCCAGTCTTGATAACAGCAGTCCCTGGGCAGTGCAACCAGGGGACCGTTGTGTCTCCTCCGTGCCTGGAGGACGTAGTGAGGAAACAGGCCATGCACCGGGCAGACTGAGTGCCAGGGAGACGTGCCATCGTTCCTGAGTGGGAGGTGGTCGAGGAGCCTGGCTGCCCCCAGGAGCGCCCTGGTTCCCTCCAGGTCTAACCCTGCCCTTCCCCCGCCCGCAGGTACCTCTACAACCGCATGGGCTACTGGAGCGACTGGTCTGTGCCCATCCTCCTGACCACGGCTGTGGCCTTCACTTACATCGCAGTCCTCCTGGTATGGGGGGCGTTCCAGAGAGGGTCCCTACTAGGGGAAGGGAGACTGAGCCTGTGCTGAGCTGGGGGGAGGGTTCCCTGGCCTAAACGGGGAGCCGCTTTTTCCAGGGCTTTGGACTGCCACCCCTCTGACCCACCAAGGTGGGAGGTCCCCTTGCTTCTGCCCCATCCTGGAATATTACCCCCTCCCCCAACCCCGTGAGCTATCTGGGCCCACTGCAGACTTCCTCTTACAGGAACTTCTGCTTTGCTTCCTGCTGCCAATAATCTGTTCACTCAGGTCCAGCCCCAAGCTGGTCTGGGGAGTAGGGTGTCTTGGGGAGGGGGCTCAGCCTGTTTTCAAATCCAAAACTCCCCAAATGTTAATCGGATAGTCCAAGGACAAGAGGGTCCAGTGGCCTCTTGAGAGAGAAATCCGGGCAAGAAGGGGCCTGGAGGCCTTGAATAGCCTGAGAGAAGCCAGGCTCGGGTGGGCTGGGCTTTCCCCTCACCTGCAGAGAGGCTTTGCTGACTGTGCTGAGCCAGGCGCAGAGCGCTGGTGTGGAGAAGGGTGTCCAGAGAACCAGCAGAAGCCTCTGGTCACACTCAGTGCCCCAACTGCCGCCCTGTGGCCCCTCTTCAGATCTTGGCGCTATGTCACATTGCGGTGGGACAGCAGATGCACCTGCACTGGCTGCACAAGGTAAGCACAACTCCCCCTCCACACACACACCCCGGGTGCGGGGGGAGGACAAGGTGTCCAGGCTCGGAACCGAATCATCACTGTCCGAGTGGCAAACTCTGAGCGCTCTTGCTGTCCCTGCACTGTTCTCCTGCCCATATGTCATTCTCCTAATGGCCCCATGGTGTGGGTACTGTGGTCACTCCAGTTTATAGCTGAGAAAACTGAGGCACAAGGTGAAGTCACCTGCCTAGTCTCCAGAGAGTAAGTGGAGGATGCCAGCCTGGTGGCCTCACAAGGCCCAGCACCCTCCGCTTGCCAAGGGACATCTCAGGCCCTCCCTGCAGGTCTGCCTCTTCTCCACTAGTCCTGCCCTTCCTCTCTCTCACCCCTTCCAGCTCTGGCTCCTGCCTGAGCAGCTTGCTGGCTGCCTCAGCTGCTGCTCCCCCACTGCAGCCTTGTGCACTTCCACCTGGCTCCCCTACCCCAGTTCCACACCCAGGGGCCAGCCTGGCTTTGCCCACCTCCATCATCTCAGTGCCCCCTTGGGGTGGGGCCCAAGGGGGAAGCTCTGCCTGCCCTCTGGCTGCTCATACTGCTCCTGGCCGAGGAAGGAACATGTTTGTGACTCTCCTGGTGAGGCCTTGGGGCTGTGACTGTGGGAGGGAGCAGACCAGGCAGGGGCGCCTGGCTCTGGCAGCATCTGGGGCCTATAGGCAGAGCAGCGGCCTCCTTCCCCAGAGAGGGCTGCTGAACAGGAAGGGGCTCACGGTCACTTCCAGACCATAAAGTGAGTCCGGTGACTCTGAAAGGAGGGGCTCACTTCTAACTAGACGGGGGTACATGGAACAGGAACTGAATGAAGGACCTGGTGAGCCCCAGTTGGCCTGAGGTGCCTGTGGGCATGGGGGAACCTCTGAGTCACAAGCTGGGGAGTCAGCTCAGCTGACTGCAGTCCCTGAGGGGTGAAAGGCAGGCCCAGCAGCCCCGTCCCCCCTCCCTCCCTCTGTCCCCTCAGACCTCACTCCTGCTTGTCATTCATCATTCTTGCTGAGGTCTCCTCTGGGTCCCTTTTCCGAGGCACTTTCTTTCTCCCTGTTGTAAGGCTGCCGCTTGAAAGAGCTGTACCAGCTGGCCCCCAAGCAGGGTGCACACACAGGGTCCTGCTTTGCTCTCAGCAGGCTGGCCACAGCTGCTTGATCCTGGCAGAGAGGCCCTGGAGCATTGAGCCTGCAGGGTGGTGGGTCAGTACCGGGAGCCCTGCCCTGGTGGCAGGGATCAGAGCCCTTTATCCACACTGCGCCAGCTCCCAGCTCCATGCCAGTGCAGCCTGCCCACCCTTCCCCAAGGGGAGTCAGCCCAGGACAGTCCCTGCTGCAGAGCTCAACCCCCCTGGGCCAAGAGGGAGGGAGCTGGGGCTCAGAGTATTGCGTAGGGGCTAAAAATTCTCATTCTCTCATTTGATTCTAACATTCTAAGGAATCCTTATTCTTTTCTTGTTTGTTGGCTGTGTTGGATTTTTTGGGGGGTGGGGTAGAGTGGGGACCATCAAGGACATTGACATGGTTCAAAATGAAAAAGATGGGAAAATAATACAGTGTAAATCTCCCTAAAGTTTTTCCAGAGACCTTATAAGCATAAACAAATAGACATCTCCTGCCTCCCTTTTCTTTAAACAGAAGTAGCACACCTGTCCCCACAACAGCTCTGCATCTCCTGAGCACAGTAAGAACTGGTGTCTGTCATAGTCTCCTGCCCTGTCCATGGTCTAGCCCATGGCTCCCTGGGGTGCTGTCCGGCCCCTGTTGTGGGGTCTGGTCCCAGTCACACTCAGTCCATCGTCAGCACACTGTGGCAGGGATCTGGGTAGAAAACTGCTGGGGAAAGTGTGGGCACTTTTGTAACATTGCTAGTGCTCAGCAGATGGCCTCCCTGCCAGGGACCACCAGTCGGTACTCTCTGATCATCTGTGACCGCCCATTAAAGCAGCCCTGACTATAGTGTCTTCACAGGTTTGCTAAAGTCTTCACAGATTTCTTCATGTTTACTGGGTGATGGGTGAAGAAGGTTTGTTTTTTGTTTTTGTTTTTTTTTTTTTTCTTTGTAGAAGAACTGGGGTGCAGGCCAGAGGTGCAGAGGGTGAGAGAACTCACCAGAGATGTCATGGGGACCAGAATAGGTAGAGCTACTGAAATTCATTGCTGAGGGGAGCAGCGAGTGGGTGGGACCAAAAAGGTCTGCTGCACCCATGTGGGTCAGCTCCCTGGCAAGGATTGAA